TTTGACGTTTTCACGACGACGAAGGCGAACACCCTGGCGCAGCCGTTAGTGGATGCTCAGATTCCGTTTAGAATCCACATAGTGAAAGACCATGACATGAAGGAGAGACTGTGTTTGGAAGTGGAGAGGTTGGGGCTAAGTGCGGTGATCATGGGGAGCAGAGGGTTTGGAGCCGCTGGGAGACCCAACAAAGGAAGGCTAGGAAGCGTTAGTGATTATTGCGTCCACCACTGCATTTGTCCGGTCGTGGTGGTCCGATGCCCGGAGGAAGAGAAGATGATGAAGAAGAGCATTGTTGGAGAAAATGTGGAGCTGCAACCAGAGTATCATGATGCGGAGGAGGGGCATGCAGGTTTGGGTTTTCGAATTTGTAATTGATTTTGTTTTCGTTTGATGGTAACCAACTGGTTTAATATGTAATTGATTTAGTTTTTGGTTTAATTATGATTTATGAGGAGTAAGACCTAAGAATTAGCAGCCCGAATTTAGGTTTTGCTTTGGTTGTTGGGGCATTGGCTGGAAAAAGATGATGAAAACGATAAATATTATTGAACCATTGAATGGATTAAGACCGGTGCACCATAGTAAACCAAGAAATCATAATTTAGACCATTGGAGTTAACCAGACGAAATGGATTTTATTCAGTGTATGAAGTGAAAACATAATACTTTAGGGTTTAGCCCTTACATGATGTGTTTCTTGTTAGGATTGTGATTGTTTCTAGGGCTTCAGAAACATGCAAGCATAAGTATCATTTGTAGTTTAATTAAGAAACATGTAAGGCATAAGTATCATTTGTAGTTTAAACAATTATGTATTTTACGCGCAAAATTATATCTCAAACCGGTTCATATTTCTTGTTAGCAGATGCTTAATACGACTCAGAGCAAGAGCAATGACGAGTGCCTACTTATTCAGGTAATTTGATATGGCTCCAAGCTTAATCTGTTTGAGACCCATTTTAGAATTCTTTCTTCCTTTGCCCTCCCCCCTTTCAGTTGCTTTCTCATGGGAGCAGTAAACAAACCCTTCATTCTTAGTTTGAAAACCTGTATTTATCATGAAGTACTTAATGCATTATTTGAAGTTTTTCAAACCTATAGTTTGTCTCTACTGAACTCCTTTGCTGATTAAGTGTTGGTTTTACCTTGAATAAATGGATGCGGATGATTGATTACTGATAAGGTCCCCTGCACTAATATTGCAGCAAAGGATGAAAAGCAATCCAAAATTTGAAGACTTTGTGCTGGCGAAGAAGCGTGGATATGTTGTGTGGTGATGAACTTTATGCTTTGTATAGATGGATAGTAATAGGGCTCGTGGTGTTTCTCTGTACTTCATGTTGATTGCCTTGTTTCGACAATTAGCTGCTTAATGTAAATGGTTTGCTGTGCTGGGTTTCGTTCTTTGTTCTTTAGTAAATGAGCCTTTGCACAGCATGTTAACGATATTGTAGGAATACCCATTTTTTCTCCTTTAAAACTGTGCAGTTATTTTTGGTTATTGCATGTGTCTCGGATCGACATAGTTTTAACATTCTTAGTAATTTATCATAACTACAAAGCGAACGACCACGTTTTTGGATAGGGCAGGGGTCTGCAGCCTCTGCAGTGTGGTCATTTGGTTCAAAGACCATTGAGAAACATAAGATATTAATACCCAATCTTCTTTAATAGTCGAACTTCTGCATAACCGAAACTTTTGATAACAGATTCTGATATTTTTGCTTCTATTTCAGCAACTAATGAGAGAAAGAAGGAACTTTACAGGAACAGGAAACGACTAATGTATCTTGAGTGACAATTTATTGCAGTTACTAAAACCAACAAAACTTGAATACAGAATCTAAACCCAGAAAGCAATCAAAACAACTGATTTCACAGTTGCCCCCGACTGCCATTGCTTTGGGTCCTTCGCATGGAAACCCCCAATATAAAGTTCAGCAGTTTGTTACCGAGATCTACATAATGGTTCCGATGATTGGCCGTTGCCTTATTTCCGCTAGGAAGAGGGAGGCGCCCGTGCCTGCTTCTGGACCGCATTGGGGAAGCGATGGCTTGACTTTTATGAGAGGAAGAGGATGCCCGGACAGTACCATGGTTATGCTCCCTCGTACCTCTGTGTTCTGATCTATAGCTACGATCAAGTTGATGGCTGCTAATGCCTAGCTTAACTGATCGTTCTATGGCATCCTTCACTTTAATAGCCTGCCGATTGAAGTAAACCGAATTCGGAAGAAGGCCTTGCAAATGCTTCTTCAGATATTCATCTTCAACATTCTTCCGTGCCGGGTTACCTTCCAAGCTGATGGCTAGCAAAGAATTGTAGTTTGCTGCGAGTTGGCCAAGACATTTGACAGTAGAGATTTTGTTGAAACGCAGGTCCAAAACCATCAACTTTAAGAGACGATGAAGACCCTCTACCTCACTTATCTTGTTTCCAGCCAAATACAACTCTTTAAGAGAGGAACAAAGAAGCCAAACCTACAACAAATTATCCGACAGAAAGTAGATTTACACGATCAAAAATATTGTAAAGCAAAGAGTATGGCAAAAAACTAGAACAGCTAATCAGTTGCAGACTTGCAGTTTGCCTCACATACCATGACCAATTCTAAATATTCGATTGTAGCTTAGATTCAGCACACGAAGCCGAGTAAGTTCATGTAAACTCTCGATGGTGGATATATTATTCCTCGACAGATCCAACATGTGAAGTCCTCGTGGAAGAGCACCAGCGGTAATCCTTGTTGAGGTACACATACAGATAATGAGAAAGCATACTTACACAGAACAGTTCCATATACTCCTAATCACACGACTTTAAAAGATGTTGAAATAGAAGGAAAATTAGAACCAATAATATTTGCAGTTGAGGATACTTACCTATTGCATTTCCTGATAGATTATGCACCTTCAAGCTGACAAATGCACTGAGAAATGGTATAACAACCAGACCATGATTTGAAAGTTGAGCAGCGGTTACCGAGGCAAATAAGATATGTATCTTTTAGCAGCTTCTATGTCAGTTCTTGTCTTAACATCCACCTTTGCAGCAGTCAAACCATTTAAGACAGCAGGTTCCACTCTCACCTGATCCTTGGGATGGGATAATTCAAATGTGTCTTTGGATTCTTCGGATGGGCTGGTGTTGAAGATTATTTACCAATCTGTGATTCGCTTAAACCTCAAATCCTTTCCAGTTTCTGGTTCAAAACCAGGCCGGTTCTTCTCGTAGGATTTTCACCTCATCCGAAACCGGCGCTATCCGGTCTTTTGCTGATGCAGAACAGCTATAAGATTCAAATCCTTCATAACTTTCAAAGGAAGTTTTGTTATTTGTATGCATGCCATCATCTCTTTCTTGTTCTCGCATCAGCTCCGTATCAACATCATGATCTAAAATATCCTTTTGTCTCATTCTGAGAACATGTACATCCTCGGAGGATCTCGAACGATGAGTCAAACATTTAGGAGAACCTTCAGAAATGAGTGATGATGCAGCAATGTTTGGCATCGAACATGATTTTACAATCCCAGGTGCATTATTGGGTGTGCGGTAACTTGAGTCATTGGCCCGCTCATAATGCAAAGGTAAATCAGAGAAATCGTGACCATCCTTCTCTGAAAGCTGAGGGTCTCCTATAGAGAAAACCGGTTCAATATTGGCATGGTTAGAGCTTACTTGAACAAATTCTGAGCATGGAGCATTCTAACCCTCTAATATAAGTTTTCTGTCATCTTCAACCAACCCATGGACACGGAAATCAGAAGAAGATCCGTGATCAGTCTCGTCATCCGTATCAATTTGTCGCGGAACTCTTCCTTCCAGGAAAAGTTCACTTCCAAGGGACAGACTCTTCTTAAAATAGTGTGGATTCTGAAGGGCCCTGGAACTGCTATCAAGATAGGTTTAGTCTCTTATTTCAAATGAATTGTTAGTAATTAAAATATATTTTCAACAGATACTATTTGTAACCATTTAATGTCAAATAAAAATATTTAAAATTTATAGTTGGTTGAATGATCGAAAAATTTATAAGATAGACACATGAAATAGAAGATTAAAAACCTTAGGAAGGTGGGTAAGAGATTTTCTGTATACACAAAAACTCAAACTTGAGACTTTACTTAAGCAATATTAAACTGTTTACGACTTGAATCAATTCATGTTGGTATCTTACATAGGTCCTTTACCTCATGTTTCTTGCAAAATATTCTGAATCTAATCATGAATAGAAAAGCAAAAGGATGTGATGTAATTAAGTAAAATATAAAAGAAAGTAAATTTCAAGTTGAAATTTATGTTTGAATTTTGAAGAAAATGTAATTAAAAAGATAATTATAAAATTTCAACCATAATCATAAAATGAACATAATTTTGGTGTTCGAGATCCTTTGGTCATCTGTCTCTCGAGATACAGCAACTAGATGATCAGTTACAATAGCACAATAGTAGAGATCACGAACTTTCTTTACCTTCGATTAATATTTTCTAAGGAGAGAAAATATTTTCAAGAGAAGAAAACTTCTTGAATTATGAGATATGAAAAACCTCAGAGATTTGCTCAATATTTATAAGGGAATTTCGAGAAAGTTTTAGTCCAACTAAAACTCTTTTGATATCTAAATTTAAACAGACAATAATATCTTTTAAATTTAAAATAATAAACATGTATACATTCATTTTATTGTTCAAATTAAATAAATATTATTTTAATATAAAATATACAAAAATATATAATTATATTTAATATTCAAAGTTAAAAAGATAACAAATACATTTTTAAATTGACATATTCAAAGAGTAGTTATCCTACTAATATTTGAATTAAATAATATATTTTAATTTTAAGATTCAATATTTATTCAAAAATAAACTTTCAACATTTTATAACATTAAACGCTCATACCCCTAACATCTACCGTGACCTGAAGTATCCAAATTGATTGGATTATTTAATCTACCAAGAATGGCCCAAAAAATGAAAAACGCACGAAGGAAAGCCCACCTAGCACTTCAGTCTCTACTCTCTTGGACTAGCAATTAGCAGAGTTTGATCAACAATGGCTTCCAGGCTACCCTTTCTCAGGAGAATCTCTAAACTTCTCAAAGCTCCGCCTTCGACACCCCTCCGCTCTTTGCGCCATTCACTTGCTCTGGGTTTTCTTCTTCCACAACCTCCGACGCCTGACGTTTCTCCTCGGTTCTTCTTTTCTTCTAGAAGCATTTGCTCCGGCCCTCTTAATCTCCCCCAGGATTCTCAGGGACCTGCACCCATCGATTACCGGTAAATATCCAATCTTTCGGGTTTACCATTCAGAATTTTGATTAAGAAATCAGTTTTAGTATGACCCCCTTTTTTTGTCTAATTATTACTGTGGAAACAGTTCGGTTCTATCGGAAGATGAATTTCATGGATTAGCTAATTCTACAATCCATGACCTTCAAGAAAAACTAGAGGTAAGCAACCCCTTTTATCGTTTAAATTAACCTTTTTTCTTCTTCTTTTTAAAAATATGGTTTTGGGTTTGTGGCAGGAATATGGTGATATTGTTGAACTTGATGGTTTCGATGTAGACTATGGGGTAAGTGTCAAAACTTGTTTATTGGCTTTGGAAATCACTTGTGGGTTCTTTATGGAAGTTAATGCATTGCTTGGATTTAGTAGAATGAAGTGCTTACACTAAAACTCGGGGCTTTGGGCACCTATGTGATGAATAAACAGACCCCTAATAGACAAATTTGGTTATCGTCTCCTCTAAGGTATAATTGTTTCTTATTCTTCTTCATTGATTGGTCTTGGGAATCTTGGATTTGGCATTGTCTTATTTGGAATTAAAGGTGCTGTTATTGTCATTTAGTCTTTGACACATTGCTTCATAGCTCAGTTTCTTTTATTTTTCCTGTGAAATTGCATCCTACTGAAGTCGAGTATATTTTTAAGTCTTTTTTCAATTTATTATTAACTTAGCACTTAGTTGCCCTGGAATTTACTGAAGGTGGATATTACATAAGTTGATATTTATTTAGTGATAGAAGACAAAGTTAATCAAAGAGTTGGGATGTAATTATCAGTTGACTATGAATTTGGTTTGCCCAAGACTTCAGACGTATAAAGAAGTTGGTTTAGCTGCCAGAAGAATGTTATTATGTTTTGAAACTTTTCGTGTAATACATTTCAGCTGGCTATTACTTTGTAAAATGAAACTAAAAATGATCAGATTTTGGACCTGGTTGAGCTTCCAATGGTCATTGTATGAATAGCTGTGATGAACTAGCGGAGTCCTAATGTTCCAGATCATTGATGGGTATATGTTTATAAACGAAAGAGTCAGCTGTACAATTAAAACTCGATTACATGATTTTTATACTAATGAAGAGGTGTTATGAAGTAGCTGAGTCCTAATCTTTCAGATCATTGATGGGTATATATTTATATAAAAAAAGTGAGCTGTACAACTAACAATATATTTCATGATTTTGACGCATTATGAAGAGGCCTTTGTTAGTTATTTCCAAGGGTGTTTGCTTAAAACTTTTGATCTAGAAGTGTGTACTCCCTTCAAGAAAATCAAACAGAAATGTAGAGCAATTTAGTGATCTAGATCAACATTCTTCATGCACATCTGTATCAGTTAATCAATACACACGCATATACAATAGTCATTTTGAACTTAAAACCATACTGCTCCGGCCCAAAGAGTTGGGATGTAATTTTCACATGGCTACTAATTTGGTCAGTCCAAGACTTAAGATGTATAGACGGGAAAGGGTTGGGGTAGTTGTCGGAATAATGTTATGTTTTGGAACTTTCCATGTAAGGTACAATGAAAAATTATCAGGTCATGGAGTTGGTTGTGTTTTGATTATGAGTAAAAGTGATGAAATAGTTGGGTTCTAGCCCCTAGATCATTGATACAAGTACAACTAAAACTCGGTTACTTGATATCGATGCCTTCTGAAGGAGCCTGTGTTAGTAATTTCAAATGGTGTTTGATCAAAAATTCAAACCATTACTGTAGAACATCCGTAAAATATATATAACATGCCATTTTGAACTTAAAACCATACCGCTATTTAGCCTTTAAAGAGTGGCTGGTTAAAGTTGGCTTCTGTGTTTCTTTGTGATAAACAGGTTTCTTGAAATATACATGATGCCATGTTTTTTGTCAGCTTTCTCGAATTATCTTCCTTTTCTTTTAATCTTTGACGTAATGTTTTCTGTGCAGCGGTCCATCCAGATTTGATTGGGATCATAATGTTCAAGCTTGGGTTTATCGACGAACTAAAGCGAATTTGTTGAAACTCTTGGAAAGTGAGCTGGAGCAACTTTGTGGTAAACCAGTCAACCTTTCATAGCTTCCGTAGATCCTATGGTGTTCGCGTAATTTCGACCTCCGAAGCTTATTTCACCACTGAAGCAGCATGCCTCGATTTCCTTGAACAAACTATATCTCAAGATTCTTAAACTCCCTCATGTGATGTAATCTTACAGAAAGTAGAATAGGTCCCCAATAAATCAGTTCAACGGTATGTTAAGACCCTCTATTGCTTTTTCACCCAACTTCTTGGTGACCGGTATATCGGCTATTATATCCTGCAACTCTGTTTACAGATCAGTTATCGCATCTCACCCTCGTGATTATAGTTTCTCTTGAGAATGTGTATGTCCTTGTTCTTGTAACAGGTGACCGAATAAAGTGGCCGGAGCAACTTTAGCGACGTATAACCACCAAAGAAAACCCTCATACGTACATTTTAGTCAAGGCTTGTGAGCCCAGGCATTACCGATTAGTAGCATCAAAGACACGAATCGTTTGAAGAATTAGGTAAAGACTTGATGGAACACCCTGGTTAGTACTTGTCACTAAAAAGTCGGGCATTATTGATGCACTCTTAGGAAAGCTATTTGTCTTTGCCTTGTCAGATTGGGTCCCTTTGCCAAATTGGGACCGAAAAGCAACATAAATTCAGGACAATATTGATATGTAAAATGACCGAAAGCATATCAGATAGCGCGCCGAAAGATAAGATAAGTGAAGATAAGGCAGGTATGGAATGTATATTTTTAGTGCCTAATTGACGGTCCCTATAATGCTAGCACCAATGATGCATAAAGCCAAATATCGTCCCAAGGGGCAAATATTCTCAACGTTTCTACTGACAACTTTATCAAAGCAACACATTTTTAAACATTTTCTTGTACCAAAATGGTACCTAAATACCTTTTTTTTTTAAATGACACCCTTTCCGCAAAGCACGCTTACATGAAAATGCCTTCCGAAAGACGCATTTTTAAACATTTTCTTGTACCAAAATGGTGCCTAAATAACATTTTTTTTGTTAAAATGACACCCTTTTCGTAAAGGTACGCTTACGTGAAAATGCCTTCCGGAAGAAGTGTTTTGAGAGGAGTGTCTTCGCCTATATGACAAGTTACTCGAATTGTTTTCAATATTGATGTCATTCATGATCAAAATGAAAAGAAATAAATATATTGAGTCAAAAATTATATAAATTTTATTTAAAAAGAAATAACATATGGGTTATGTGACTGAGACATATAATTACATGAGCACGAGCACAAATCAATTTAAATCTTGTTTTGAATCATTTAATGAAATTTAGAAGATTATATTTAACACTTAAGAAAACTTATATAAACAATGTGGGATTCGAGAATATCATCGTGCACTATTTTATAAATTAGACGTTTCCTTTTTATTTATAAAATCCAAACTTAAAATGGTTCATCAAATGCATTATTATCATTCAAGCAAGAGTGGGGTTACATTATATAAAGTTTGTCTATTTGTTCGAACTAATTTAACCTAATATTAAAAGAATTATTATTATTTTTAGATGTTACAAGTTCGAGCATTGACAATTATATCAAGGTGATTAAACGTTTATTATCAAATAATTAAAAATATTTAAAATAAATATTATTTTAAAATCACCTTAACTTATTACTTTAAAAAAAAGTTTTTTTTGTCTATTTATGAACATCTTCTATTATTGGAGTTGTAGAATAGTATATAAAGTTGCACAGCTTCCCTCACCAAGTGAATGGCCTAAAATTGAAACGTGAACAACAAGACAACGCCCATCACTCAAAACCCACTGCTGCAGTCAACCGGTGAATTGTACATGGAACAACCCCGAAAAAAATAATAAACTGCATACATACATGCATGCATACATATATGCATGCATACATATGTAATATAATACGTATGTAGACGTCGTTGTCTAGGATAGTGATGTTATGGTCAGCATAAGAATCCTAAGATGAACGAAAGACCCTCATATTGCCAAGATTTTTTAAGTGGCGCTCAACCACCACCACAAATCTCCACACCCCACGCCAAATCTCCACCACTCGATCCTCTTTCTTTTCACCCAAGTGATTCGCCCCTACACTGGAGGGACCCTAGCAGTTTCATTTTTCTTATTAAAAAAAGAAGCAAAGCTGTTTAACTCAATTTACGGATGTATTTAATTAATCTAATTAGTCTAACAGGGTCCTTTGAACCACAATTTCTGTTTGAGGATCATGATTTCTTGACTATATTTTTGTGGGCTGATTGATGATTTCGATTGTATCATTGAACTGGTAAATGGGGAAATTAAATGAGTTTGAAGCCTCGTGTTTTAAACTGCTTCCACCATCTGATGTTGATGGGCGGCCGTCATTCCTACTGTGCGCCCAAGGAAAAATAAAAAGATATAAATCCATCTGTTTATTGTATTGAATTCTTTCTTAGTGGTGCTGGACCATCAGCTTCCCAGATATTTTGCTTAAATTATTAAACAAACACCAAATATCTTCTCCCGCCACATGTTTTGAATAAACCCACTTGAATAAAGCATTACGAAACTCGTCCCAACAAGAAAATAGAGTAAGAAAATTCCCCTACAAATACAAACAAAGCAAGGCAGCCCCTAAATTAACCATGGGTTCAGGTGAAATTAAATTCACTCAGATTAAAACTACCGATGATATCGATACTAATTAATATTTTTTATATTTCTTATTTATTTTGTGATGACCTGTTTTATCATTATATTACATATTTTTTACAAGTCAAACGAATATTGAGATAAATGATTAAAATTCATGAATTTAAACTTATAAAATTAAATTCAAATTTTATATCGTTACTTTTCATTGACAATTTGTATCCTAATTGGATCTTACGTATATCCAAACTCTGGACTGAAGAGTCACCTAGATCTAAATTTTTTTGTAACAAAAAATATTTATTTATGAATAATTAATAAAATTAATAGTAGTGTTTTTAGTGGTTTAAACCAAAGTCTTTTATCATAAGATACGTTTGAAAAAGTACTTTCGGGATAAAACCAAAAATTCAGCAGGTAATTTGTGAAAACACTTCAATCACAAATCTAAGACAATTTCATTTTAATCCTATAATAAAATAATTTATTAACTAGCTTACCCTACCAAACATATATATATATATATATAGAGAAAATAATCTCAGTGACCAAAAATGACTTATAATATACGATTTTAAACAACTTTTTTTGGATTTGCCAAAATGACCAACTAAATCGCAATGCGATCGATAATTTGCAACGCGATCTCGGGTATCGTAAATCAGTTTTCAGATTCGCAACACGATTCTGACTATCGCATTGCGATTTCCCAAATTCGCGTTGCGATTTTCCTAATTCGCAATGCGAATACGTAAATCGCAACGCAAATTTGGAAAATAGCAATGCGATTACGTAAATCGCAATGCGAATACGTAAATCGCAATGCGAATACGTAAATCGCAATGCGAATCTATAAATCGCAACGAGATTCTGACTATCGCAATACTGAATTTCAAATTCGCAACTCGATTTCTGAATTCACAACAGGTTTTAATTTCGCAACACAAATGTTTTGGGTATATAACTACGCAGCAGCAACAACTCATAACCTAAATCCCTAAATCGCAACTCATTCCATCTCCATCTATCACTCTCTCCGGCGACATCCGTTCCTATATCCAACGACATCCTTCCCCATCCGATAACAAGTTTTAGTTTCGCAGCTCGTTTGTTTAGTAAATTAATTTACAATAATGAAATCATCTAATGTTGATCATGTTTGGATAGATTTGTGTTTTGGAGGGTCATGGGAGAATGTTCATGGTGTTTTACAATATATGCCTTTACCCATGAATCTTCAACTAAAACTGTCATTAAAAAAGTTAACTTATGAAACTCTAATGTTACGTGTTGCAAATAAATTGAATTTAGAGCCCCTAAGTGGATTTAGGCTATCTTATCAGAGAAATGGTAAAGTTTATTTGTTAACCGACAATGAAGATGTTGAACGATTCATTGCTTACATTAGTGTTTCAAGTGATGATGTTACATTGTATGTTGTTGAACCTAGAAGTAGTGAAGTTGGGTCAGTAGCGGGTAGTAATCAACTAAGTTTTTCAACCCCAGTTTATGGTGCTCAAAATTTAATGGTTCTACCACAATTTCATCACCAAGCAAATATTGTTTCACCACATTTCCAACACCAAACACAATCTCAAAACCCACAACCTTTCCCTAATCCAAATCCCAATCAACTTTCAGCACCAAATTTCGGTTTTCGTATTGACCAGTTAGACGATGATGAGCTTACAGAAAAAATTGTGAGTACTAGTCAGTATTCGAAATTTGATCTTGGTCAATACCCGGACTTTGATCTTGGTCAATACTCGGATTTTGATGATTTTTCAGAAGAAGAAACAGACCATGTGTGTAATGATTTTGATATTGGTCAATACCCGAATTTTGATGATGAAACAGCCGTTGCCGAGGAAGATGTTGTTGATGATAATGAGGAGGAAGTTACGACTGTAAATGAACATGTTGAACATCCATTCTGTAATTCATATAACACTGAAGAAGAAAAAGAAGAAGAATAAATCCCCAAAGAAAAGTCCCCGAAGAAAATGTCACGGGAGTATAACTGGAATATGCCAGAATTACTTCAGATACCGGAAGAAGAGTTGGTAAAGATAGCAGTTGATTGTTACACAAAAATTATTCGTATCAAGAAATATGATTGTTTTGATACAAAGGAAGACTTGAAGATAGCTTTGTATACGAAATGTGTGGAAGATGGCTATCAACTAAAAGTTAACAAATCAAGCAAAGATCGTTTCGAAACAAGGTGTATGATTGACAAAAAACTGTATGTGGCGTATGATTGCAAAGAGGATAAAAGATTGTGAAATGTTTCAAGTTAAGACTTTTATTGATAAACATACATGTTCAAGAACCCAAGTTTTTCCTCACCATAGGCAGGCAAACAAAAAGGTGTTGGGTGGTTTTGTGGCTGAGTTAATGTTTTTGAATGGTAGGGTATATCAGGGACATGAAATTATGACTGACATGAATGCTCGGTTCAAGATTAGTATCTCATATTCTCAAGCTTGGAGAGCCAAATGTTATGCCTTGGAATTGTTGAGGGGGTCGCCAGAAGCATCGTTTGCCCAACTGTCGGCTTATTGTCACAATTTAAAGCTGAAAAATCCTGGGTCGGTAACTCATATCAAAACATATAGAGATGGACGCTTTGA